ATAGCAGAAGAGCAAATTAACTGTGTATAAAATTACTGTGGAAATTAAAAGAAAGTGGTAGCTCTGTGTTCAGGCTCATGCATCTTTTAGGACCAAAGGACACAGGCTGTCTGGTTGTGAATGAGTGTTACAGGCTAAATTAGAAAAGGATGACCTCAAACAGCACATGACGGGCAGTGGGCATTGTGTCTGAAGTGAGACTGAATTTGCAAAAGCTTCGGTGGTGCTTAACTAGGAGGCTATCATTACCAGGAAGTGGAGGCAAAGCTTCTGCAGAGGACAGGGAGATATGCTTTACATTGCTCTCTCCTCTTAAATTGTCACTTTGTACCACTTGCCTTGTAGAAGTTAACAAAATACAGAACATTCCATGCATATTTACCTCTTTAGTCCCAGGAACTAACAATTTTACTGTAAGTTTATGCAGCTCTTAGGGCAGTATTGAGTCTTGATCACGCCAGATTCTAGGCAGTATTTGACATTAAAAAATAAAGAAGGACTTTTTTCTCTTCACAGTTGTTTAACTTACTAAAAATTGAATTTGACTAACTTAAATTCCCTAAATGTTGTACGAACTTGTTGTGGCATGGCTATAATGTAATAGGTGTTAATTATGACTGCTTTAAGTATTAATTTTTGGCCTGTCCAACATAAGGTGTAATTGATTTGAAGACAGATTTAAATGGAGGTGAATAGTGTGTGATTATGAGGTGGTTGATGCAAAGCATTTATTCTAACGTTTCAGAATAGGGGCTGGTAGATGTCAAGAAGGTGAATTAAATGGAAAGTTCTTTTCAGGTGGAAATACGCAAACTTCTTGAAAATGTTTCTTTTCAGTAAAAACTTCAAAATTCTTAAGGTTATCTTAAGAACTTTTGTCATTATAGCAGTGCAGGCTAGTGAGGAAAATACATTATTTTTTAAATTTCACTGTAGAAAAACAGGAGCTTAATTAGCAGTGCCTTAAATACTTGCCCTAATGGTTGATAGGGTTGAGGGGAACTTGATTCTAATGCCCAGAATTGCTGAGCAGTGTTCAAGTTGTTTTTGCCCTCCTATGGCACAGGCGAGTGAAAATAAGATGTGTTGTAAAGCAGTTGACACATTGTAATATTTAAATATGCTGTGACTATGAATTGTATTGGAATGGATATCAAAATTCAGAAGTGGTGATGTGACATGTTTAGCCTGCCTCACTTTACACCTCGGTCTCAAAACTGTTAATTTACTAAGTAAGTTGAAGATTGTGCAGCATGAGCTATGTGGTCATTTTTAGGTATATAGACTGAAAAATTATTCAAATGTTTCTTAAAGCAATGCCAAAATTAAGGAAATAAACATTTCCTTGAAAAACTAATCTAACTAAACTAACTCCCTTATAACTGGGAATTTTTACAAGACTTGAACAATTTAAAATAACATTTTTTATTTAGCTTAGATTTTTTTGAGTGCTTGATTTAAGCACTGGGAAAAAAACGATGCTTTTAGAGGGCAAGAACTGGAACCACATAAAAGTAATGCTGGAAATTACTTTTTTTCTGGGAAATATGGAGAGGCAGAAGAAAAGTAAATAGGAGTGTAGGTGGATGAGACTACTGCTGGCTGAACAGCTGGGTTTGGGTTTGGGTTTAGGAGACCCATGGGAACATTGCAAAGAGAGAACTGTGACTGCTGAGCAAGAATGTCATAGTGGGGAGCTTGGAAGGAAGGGAACAAGGAAAGAATGAGATGGCTTAGCAATTCATATATGCTGGGTGAGAGGCAGGAATGGAATTGTGAGGGGATAGGGAGACAGAAGGTGAAGGCATCTGAATTGGGATTAAAGACTGGAAGCATGGAAATTGAGAAAGGAATTAGGAGATAATCGAGATAAAGTAACTAGGAGCTGTTGTGAAGAAAGAAAATGAAAAGGAATAAGAAAGAAGTGTTGAAATTCAAACTAAAAATTAGCAGAAGAATCTGCCCTCTATGGTCTTGTCCTGCCCCATTTCTAATTGAACCTGATATTCCTGAACATCTTCTTTCATCAAAGTATCTATCCCATCCCCTGTAATTAGTGCTTTTGGTCATAATAAAACTTTAGGAACTCATATAGGTGCTGTCAAAAGTGCACACCGTAGGTGCACAATTAGGCTTCTGCATTGTGCAGGTGTCGTAATGACACTTGGAAGTGTTAAAACTTTCTGATTATAAAAACCCAGCCCTAGGGAAATGAATATGGTCAGTGCTGATGAGTTGACTGGTGTCAGGAGATGTGTATTATTTCAGAGGGTGGCATCTGCTCTTGTGTACACATGTGGATAATTTCTGATGGATAAATCTCAGTCTGCATGTCACTGATGGTGCTGGGCAGAGCTACCTGGCAGGTGCATGGTGCTGTGGCTTTGTTTGACAAGGAATGCATGGTTGCATGGCCCTTACTTGTCACTGACAGTTGAGTTTCTAAGCTGGGTTTTAGGCCTATGCTATTTCAGAAAAAGTGGGATTTGATCAATGCTGTGGTTTGGCTGTGCCAGCAGCCTGTTTGAAAAGTGAGGAGTGGGAATGTGCAGCTGGGGTAGGAGGAGAACACAAAAGTGCTGCTCTTCATGGCCACACAGCCTGTGTTGACACACAGTTATTGTGAAATCTCAACTGTTTTCTCTGGAAGTTAAATAAGATGGGAGACTGCTGCAGAGGAAAAGGTAGTCTCAATAGTAGAGTTGCCTACATTGTTTTCTCCACATGTGACTTTACTCCAGAAAAATGGGCATGGCTTTTCACAGGAGCCGACAGCCTGATGTGGTAACACTGAACATCCAAGTCAGAGATGAGCTGCTAGGAGTTTTGCTCTAGCAGTAGAAAATGTTGGCTCATAGTCCATTCTCCAAAATAAGATAAGCCAAGTGGGTGTCCTTTGCTTGAAATTTTGTTTTTCTGTTCCCAATTTTTAAATAGGAAGAATGCTTCTATGAGATAAGGGAAGACTATAGAATATGTTGCTGTTTAAAGCACTCAGTCTATTAAAAAATAATAAAAATCTGAAGTCTTCTGAAAGGACTTACTGGGCTGTTCTATTATAAAAAAAGTTTAAGCAAATAATTGAATTGGCTTTTAAGTGAACACTCTTACATACTGAACAAGATGGGCCACCCACAATGTGGCTTGTTCATTAAGTCCTTTGTTTCAAGAGATTATTTTCAAAAAATCAAGAAATTTTCTTATGAAGTCAGACATTAATAAAACCAGAGAAGAATTTTAAAGAAATTTGTTCAAAAATAAAGTGCTTGTCTTTTGCAGTTCAAATAATTCTCCTTTGAGTTTTTTGTTTGTTTGGTTAGGGGTTTTTTTGGGTTTGGTGTTTTATGTGTGCAGATATTTCTGCTTTTAAGAGAGACATTTGGAAAAATCTTAAACTAATTAGGAAACTTTGTTTTCTTTGATTTTTCCTTTTTTCAATAAAAAAAGCAAACTGGCCTGATTTTTTCTCTGTCCAGCAATTCTGTGTATAAAAATCTAGAGCTAAGATGCCATATAGCTCTGCACTTACCAGATACCATTGCAAGCAAAACAGACTGAGCTTGGAGATAATCACTGAGTTTACTACAATGAAAATCAGAGTGGGATGAGAAGTAAAATAGGTCTTAAAAACACATTTCCACCACTCACCCCTCCTTCTTAGGCTCTACCTTCTCACCTGCAGTGGTACAGGGAGACAAGGAATGAGGATTTTGGTCAGTTTGCCACAGTTGGTTTCTTCTGCTGCTCAGGAAGAGGAGTCCTTCCCCTGCTCCACCATGGGGTCCTTCCTACTGGAGACAGTTCTCCACAGATTTTTTTCAATGGGCTTCCTACAGGCCACAGTTCACAAATTGCTGCAATATGGATCATTTTCCCTGAGGTGCAATCCTTCAGGGTCACAGGTTCTACCAGCAAACCTGCTCCAATGTGGGTTTCTCTCTTCATGGGTCTGCAGGTCCCTGCCAGGAGCCTGTTCCACCACTGGTTTCTCTTTGATACACAGCTTCCTTTCAAGCATCCACCTGCTCTGGCATGGGATTCTCCACAGGCTGCAGGTGGAGCTCTGGCTGTCTTGTGGGACTCTACGGGCTGCAGGGACAGAGCTGCTTCACCGTGGGCTGAAGGGGAATCTCTGCACTGGTGCCTCCCTGGTACCAAAATCTAGCCACACCAACCCCATACAGCAAGCTTTCTACTACTTATTAGCATATTTAGGACTGCAATCTTTTTGGGGACTTGGTTTATTCTTTCCATGTTCTGTGGGTTTTTTTATAGAATCAGTTCAGTGTTCTTTGACAGAAATTGGTTAATCTGTTGTCATCAACGCCATGCCATGGAGATTCTTTCTTGGTTTGGAGGAAATTATCTTAGACTTCTGATCTCTGCTGCCTGCTTGATACTGTGTTGCACCAGTTCCGTGATTCCTGTCAAGGGGGACATCTAGGCAGAAAATGGGATGGCTGGGTGGAAGCATGAGGACACTGAGGGGGAGGTGAGAGTGCAGGCTGAAGTATGGGATCTTATGGCTGGATCACAGGATCCCTCTCTTTTTTTTCCCCCATCCTAGTGTATACTTTGTCTTTTATTAGCTGATGTGGAAGCACATTGTGCTTTGTGGTGACAGCAGGGGCCACAGCAGCCCCACATGTCTGCAAGCCATCCCTGCAGGCTGCCACTCCAGAGAAGGTCATTGCTCCCACTGTGGGCAAGGGAGGGGTCACCTGCTTACAATTAATTTGCTGCACCCACATCAGGAGCTGGAGTACATGTCTGTTCATATTAGGAAATTTCATATGCCTAAACTATTTTGGGAAGAAACCCAAACCTTTGTCAGAATAAAGTTCTTATTGCTGAAAAACTTCAAACTGATGAATCAGCAGCTATTTTTATTCATGAATTACATTAGAAAAAAAAACCCAAATCAAATTAATTTCAATTAATTGGGTCTTAAAATGTATAAGTGTTGCAGTGTATCACTTCTAAACTTTTCTTGTTTACAGAAACAAGACACTGGACAAATTTTGTTGGATATGACCTATAATCAGCTGGGTGTGACAGAGAAGGAATATTTTGGTTTACAGCAAAATGAGAATTCAGTAGATTCACCTGTAAGTATAGTAAATAAAAAACGTGTGTGCATGTATATGTGTGTATAAATATGTACACGTGCATGTATACACACATATTCATGCACACACATGCACATGAATAAACAATATTTATTTGCAAATATTTTTAATCCATCTAATAGTTTTTCGTTTCACAGCGATGGCTTGAACCAAGCAAACCTATTAGGAAACAGTTAAAAGGTAAGATTTGTTTTTACTATCTTGATTGTAACTTTGTAGTTCTGTTTTTCTATGTTATGACTAGAATAAATGCATATTGTCCAGATGGTAGATTTTTCTTCAAGATGAAGTCTTGTGTCTGCAAGTCATTTCAGCAGATCCTTCTACTTCTCCTTACTCCTACTTGGGTGGAAATAAGACCTGGTAGATCATTAACTTTGATGCTGTAATAGCAGCTAAACTTGGTTTCTGTGCAGTATTAGACATGTAGTATTAGACATGTAGTATTAGACATGTAGTATTAGATGGCCATGAAAGCAGTAGTCATATTGTGGTGCTGGTGAATTCCTCCTGAGAGGGAAGCAAAGGAAAAGGGGTTTTGATTGAGGGAGGCATAGCCAGTATGTTTATAGATTCTGGCAATTTCTTGTCACACATACAATAAGAAACCCCAAATTTATACATTTTTATTAAAAAACAACTAACCAGAAAAACAACGCCACACACTTCCAGGTGCATTTGTTGTTCTAGTACGGCACTGTCCCAGTTTGTGCTGTGTAACACTTGAGCTATATTTTTCAGCACCCTCGTTTCTACCTTGTGCTACAGATCATGAATTTTTGTTTCAATTCATACACAAAAGTAGCATGTTGGACTTCTGTAATTTAATGTACTTATATGTAAGATAGAACTGAGCATTATCCCAGCTGAGACACCTTAAATATATTTAGTGCTTTTCTCCCTTCTAATACTTAGCGGGCAAAGGAAGCTCAATAATGCCTTTATGCAAAGTAGTATATGCAAAGTACTTTAAATGAAAGCATTACTATAGTTGACAGTATTTTCTTTTCAAAGTTGGTATCGGGGCATCAGGAGGGACTTCTCATAGTTTCTTTTAGTTTCATGAAAAGCATACATGAGATTTCTAAGTGGTTGTTAATGTAATTTTTCTGTAAAAATAGAAATGAAAATATGAAGCTCTTTCTGTTTTAAAGTAATGATTGATTTGCTCTTCTAAAATATTGCAGGAGGTTTTCCCTGCACGCTTCATTTTCGTGTAAGGTTTTTTCTACCTGATCCTAACACACTTCAGCAAGAACAAACCAGGTAACTTCTGTTTGCTTCTGTGAACTAAGAATGTGTCTTGCCCATGACTGCAGCTTGGCAAATTATGCTTCATTACATAGATAACTTTGTATAACTTGGTGTTGAATACATTTGGAATGGAGAGCTTGATGCCATGCTCATGATGAATAGTTTCTGAGTAGTTCAGCTTACAGGATACAGCTGGAGTATAAGGTAGTACAAAGATGGTAGGTGTTAAAATATGTTTATTTCCGTCTTGAATTTTTTTGGAGTCTGCATGCCCTGGGTCTGTCTATCTTAGAAGTTTTGTATAAACACTGAGTCAGTTTTGAACATGTGTAGTAGATTTAATGCTGAGGGTGTGGAAGGGTGGGGTTTATTTTTTGGGGGAAAGAACAGATAACAGTTCTTGTTTTCTAGTTTGCCTTTTACTTGTAACACGCAAAGATGTATAATGCTTCAGTTTACTGTAGACTTCTAACGTTTTGTTTTTTAACCTGAGTTTCTGGGGTGGTGGGATGCTTGTATTACAAGAAATTTTCAATTAATTTGTCACAAAATTTTAATTAAATACTTGTTTTGTTCAGTGCTTGTCATTTGGAGTTTAGAATTTGAAGGCAATTTGAAGGCACACATTAATCTGGCTGTTAACCTGACATTTCTGTAGCACTTTCATTGTTTATTAATTTTAGTGACTTGGGAATATAAATAGTACAACATGTGAAATTATATTTCTTGTAGAAAATTTATCTTTTGACCTGTTTTGGTATTTGTTAATCATGTAGTTTGAAGTTGTTCTGCAGTTTAAAACTGAAATTATTCTTAGATCTGCCCTTTAAGGTTCTTCACATGCCCACTCTTCAGCATCACTATAAACTAACATTGTCAAACATGCTAATAAGAGGAAGACTGAACTGCTCTTAGAGAATTGTTTAAGAGCTTTTTGTCAGCATATGCTGCTACAGAAATGTCTCAACCTCCATTGAGTCTATCTCCTAGACAGGATCTCATAGTCAACCTTGATTGAGATTTGAGGTGTTTTGCCTTATTTTAGAAAAACTTTTTTTTCAAGTTGCATTCAAGATGAGTATTCCAGGGAGAAAAAGAGCTCAGTTCAGTAGTAGTGGTTTGGTTTTTGTAGTGTTAATTGCAACATTAATAATACTGTGGCCTTGGAGTTGCACTAGAGACTGCCAAAGATCCTTAAAAATGTTGTGAGAGTAAGGGGTTGTATGGTTGCATATTTGTAAATGCCACTAATATTTGTTCATCTGTTTGTATAGTTTGCTGGGAAATCTAATGAAATAAAACAAATATATGTAGCTATTTAAATCCTACCATTTAAAAATAAATGCACATTTGTTTCTTTTCCAAAAAAATCTTTTCTAGGCATTTATTCTTTCTGCAGTTGAAGACTGATATTGCAGAAGGAAGGTAATAAGAAGAATCTTCAATTTCTCTATAATTCTTTCTAAAATAAATTTAAAAAGCCTTTTGCCTGAGGGTATTGTTGCTGTAAAATTATCCCAATTATCCTATAAATATGCCTTGTGAAACATTGTTTTAAAGGAAAATCACATTGCCAGGAAATGTTACAAATTTTCTCATAGCTCACTTATTAAGAACAGTTTAGAAGTCTGTTGTGAATAAGCTGTAGGTGATGCATGTATCAACAGGCACGACATCAGCCAAAGGGATATTTATGCAAGGCCTGGTGTGCCAGGCATGGAATTCCAAATCTGGGCACCCACTACCTAGTGCAGTAATCAGGAGTAGCAAGGGGCAGTTCATGCTATCATTTCTCCTTATTTCAGGGTTGTATTACCTGGGCATATACCCAGTGGTTTATTTGGCTGTGATTTCTGTGTGTTTGTACATAAAAAAAAATAAATAAAAAGGAAACCATTGTCCAAGTATTTGCTGCCAAATGTCAGTTGCCTAAAGGTGTTGGCTTTTTTCTATTATAGAGTCAGTTTTGGCCATAAGATCAGAGCTGTGTTTGTGCTTGGCATTTGGGTAATTTCAGTGTTTGTGTCTAGTTTTAACTACACCATAATGCAGCTATTAAAGTAATATCCAGAGCCCCATAAAAATATCTTTTTCTTTCCTGAATAAACATCCAGTAAAAATCTGAGTATGTCCTTTTCTGATTAGTTACTTCCATTCACTTAAGGAGCTGTTTAATATCCAGTTGTAATGTGCTTTAACAATCAAACAGTGAGAAAAAAATCAGATATTCTTTGAAGATGAATTAGTCTTCACATATCAAACTAATTGTGAGATAGTTTCAAGAAGACATGCATACAGCCTATGTTTAAATAAAATTATTTCCCCTCTTTTCCAGGTTGTCATGCCCCATTAATTCTGCTGTTGTCCTGGCATCATATGCAGTACAATGTGAGTAATAAACAACCATTGTTTTGTTAATAAATTTATTTGACCAACTACTTTCTTGGCTGTTTGGCACTGAAAAATTGGGAGAGATTTCTTTCCTTACCTCTTTGTGCCGAGTATTCAATATGCAGGTACAGGTTATTAAGGCAGCCTCCAGAGACAGTCTAAATATAAAAAGAATACCTTTTACGCCTGTCAAAAAAAAAGTTGATACAAGAATAATTTTTCTATTTATGTATGCTTCTGACTGCTGACAAAAAAGTCAGGTTTGCACTGTCAGTGGAAATAAAACTGTGAAACTTACTGTGTGTTACAATAGCTACGGGAATGCATTCCAAGGGAATAAGTGGTCATCTAGAGAACAGATAAGATGAAGGTAAACTCATGATTAAGAAACTATAGTGTTCTTACACAATGTTTGTTTCGTGGAATTTGGTTTGTTAGTTATGTAAAACTGGCCCTTTGCAATACATTTAAGGTGACTCTGCATATAAGAATTTAGATCCTTCTCATCTGCCTTTGGCAAAAAAAAAATTTCAAACAATGATACTAGAAAAACATCTTCTGTAAGAAAACCATACTGGAGTCTGACAATTCTTAACAAGCATCCTCAACAGACAGTGGAAAACAGCTGGAGGAAGACCTTTCTCATTAAACAAATAAAGAAAAAGAAACAGGTTGAGGGTTTAGTGGAGTTTGCATATTTGTTACAATAGTCAGGGGAAAGAATGTAAGAATAGTTGTGTAATTATTTGGCTGACTCTCATTTCTTTAATGGAAAGGCTAACAAGGCCCACAGAAACAATTGAGGTAATTTTTGTTTGAAATAGGAACCAAGCTAAAATAATTAAAGTATGGTTTTCAAAGAAGGATGGGATAAGCTTTTAGTATTTGGTGAAATCCTAAGAGTCTATGAAACATTTGCTTTTATGTTTAAGCATGTCATATGTTGCACCCTTTTATAAAATAAAACTAATCAGATTCAAGCTTCAGTAAAAACAGTTGAAATTTTCCATACTATGTGGCAGTCCCAGTTTTGGAGCCAAAAGAAATGCTCTGGTGTTTCTGAGGCCCAATAATGGCACTTGAAGGCTGATACACTGCACCACTAGGATTGCTAAATGAACTATTGGTGATCTTATTGAGCTAAAGCTCAGAAATTAAGAATGCGAAGGTTCTACCACAAATTGAAATATATCATGCCAAATCTAGTGTATCCCAAATCCCAAAGTTGTTCCTGTTTCCCCTTCAGTTTTATGGCTGCTCCCTTTTTAGTGCTTAAGCTAGGATACCACTAATGCAGTAATCTGTACTAAAGGAAAATTATGGAAGGACAATGAAGATTGTCAGAGAGTATTAGTGTGTTTTAATCATTGTCTTTCATGGTGGATTCTGGATTTCCTATCGAGCTACTTACCTGTTTTTTCTAACTCCTGATAGTGCTGTTTTTACCAGATGGTGGGGATTTTTTTTTGTTTGTTTCTTTTTATTATTTAATTACAAAAAAAAAAGCACAAAAAACCCAAAAGTAGCCTTATTTTGCTATCTGATTTCCTTTCTTTTGCTGTTTTTATGACACTGATATTTATTCTCTGTATTGGTAAGGAATGATTTCATTAATAGAATGACATATTCCTTTAAGGTTGTTTGTTTTGTTTTTTTTTTCCTTTTACCTAGAGGTGATGGCATAAGAAAGACATTTTTGAAATCAAGGGTTTTGGTCTCCTTACTGAGTCATGTTTGCTATGTCCTGTCAATTGAAATAGTTTTAAGTAGTTTTCTATTAGTGTTTTAATTTCTAGTCATACTTAGTAAGGAGAGCTGAAGTTCTTGGTATGAGGTAGCTGCTTATGAGAAATCCATTGTCTGAGGTTGCCGTGAATCAGTTCTACCTGAGCTATTTACTGCCCCTTCTTGGCGGCTTTCAGGCTGCTCTCTCCTTTTGTAGCTTCCCTTGTATGCAGAAGGGGAAATCCTTGGTGTCTGACAAACCTGTGTGTTGTTTATTTAAAAGGTGTAGCAGTTGTTGCTGATGGGAGGGCTGAATCATATCTCTTTCGTAGGGTATGAAGTCTGGTGTTTGATATTTCTGCTCTTGCTTAACTGAAGTTTTTCCATGTACTGGTTTAATAGTCGGCCTTCAGAGGTTTTGTCTGAGTTTTGCAAGGGGATAATTTTTGGTTGTATCTACTGTGCTGCTGGGATGCTGTAATGCCCTTTTCACAGGCTTTTGGTTCTGAAATAAAGCTCTGACATGTCCCTCTGCCCTGCTGCAGCACACCTCGCCTTGCCTGGTGGGGCTAAGTTACAGGGGAATGCAAGTGGGTGTGAATACTGTGAATAACATGTGACTGAACCTGATTACGAACATAGTTCAGACACTTGAAGAATAAGTTGTTAGTGTATTATCAGGAATGTGCTTTGTGACAGAACAGTCAGTAGATTTTTGAATTATTTTTTTTTGAGAAGAACTTAATGTACATTTCAAATAATTCCACCATTGTGAAGCTGAACAGGATATACTCATACTGAAAAATCTTAATGATAAATCGTATTTTTACTAGTGTAAAATGGGAAAGTTGTACCAAATAAGGATACCTATACAGTACAACTATTCCTTTTTTTAAATTTCAAATGTCATAAAGCTGATTTAGCACCATTTGTTTTCTATCACTTCATGTTGCAAATTGCCATTTCCAGGCCATTGTTTAAATGCCCAGTTACTGGTATGTAAGAAGTCCCATGGGTTTCATGAGAATATGCTCTTATGTTTATAAATCTATTGGTGACTTGGGACTTGAATCTGAAGTACAGTAATAAAGCCAGCAAAGATGTTATGAATGCTTCTAAGCATTTGTTTGTTCCTGAGCATCAGCTGCTCTTTTCTCCTGTGATACTGCTCCTCTCAGCCCTGCTTTGAGAACCACGAATCATCACTAGCACACTGCTTGATGTCTTTGGGACTTTGTTTAGAAAGGGGTTGACTGGTTGCTAGGGATTCAAATGGACTTTAACCTCTTATAAGGGAAGGAAGGCTGATGATGATGAAGAGTCAAGGAAGCTGAACTTAGTGTGAAATTCTCTCAGGAACTGGGAATAAGAGAGGTAGAATTTTGGGAATGCCAGAAGATTGATATCCCAGAGGTGTAGGTGGGCTATAAGACTTAGAGAAACATCAACAGCAGCTCCATAGTGAGGCCTGACTCTTTCTTCTAACTTGCCTTCATTTTGCCCCACTTTATAGAAGTTAGGTTGACCCCTTAGACTTCCTAGTTTATGGAGACCTCTCTCTTTTCATGGTTAGCATTTGGACATTTTTCTGTGTGTGCTCCCCACCCATGCTTTCTAGAAGTGAAATAGTGTTCAGAAGGACATCTCATGTAAGCTGAGAGATTTGTTTACAGATAGCCAGGTTTCTCCTTCTTTCCAGGGCATCTTTAACTCTTGTACCTTAGAATCAAAATCAGACTAGATTAATAGAGAGAACTTGGAGCAAAATTTCCAGTGTTTGAAATTAGTTACCAGTGTGTTGGGTAGTCTGAGGATTGTGTGCATGTCACATCTGTTCTTATGAAGCTTGCATCAATGCTGTGCAGTCAAAGGCACCTTTCATCATACCTTACAGTTCCAATGTTATCTGTGTAATGGTGATGAAACTCCCAATAGAAGAATCAGCTTGGAGAGTTTAATTGAAAATACATTCCCATTTCCTTCCATGTGGTTCACTGAATTCTAGATTGCTGCTCCTGAGCTTGCTTACATCTCTGTACAACAGATCTTCTAAGAGTATTCTGATTGTTTATATACAGCAACTTTCCAGCTCTTTTGGACTGGTTTGCATTAATTATATTTTACAATTGTTTTAGGTACTTCAGGAGATCATTACTTCAAGAATTGTTTATGTGATGGTCTTCCATTAAGCCACAAATTATTTTTTGAACTGTAACACTTCTAAACAAGGTGCAATCTCCAGAGTGAGAACCCCAGCTTGGGTTGCTGTGCTGTAGCTAAGAAGCTGACTTTCTGCAGTGCCTCATAGACTTGATGCTATTCTTCTGTATTTTTAAGTTGGATGAACCTATTAAATATTTTTGTGTAGCATAACTAAAAAAGGGGAGAAAAGGGTTTCCCAAGGTCAAGGTCCATGTAACACAGTATTACACTCATGATAGCAGCCTGGAGTTGTACCAGGAAAGGTTTATGTTCCCTATTAGGAAAAATTTCTTCTCTAAAAGCGTAGTCAGGCTTTGGAAGAGGCTGTCCAGGGAAGTGGAGTCATCATCCCAGGAGGTATTTAAAAAATGTGTAGATGTGTCATGGAGGGATATGGTTTAGTGGTGGGCTTGGCGGTGCTGGGCTAAGGGTTGGACTCAATGATCTTAGAGGTCTTGTCCAACCTAAATGACTTTCTGATTCTCAAATGAGTAGTGATGAATGCTGAGAAATAACATATGGCAGAGGATCAGATGTATTGGTTTGACAAAGCCTCACAATGTTTTGGGAATACTGATAACTATTCCTTCTATTTTTTTACCGCAATACTTTCTCAAAATGAATACTCTTTGGACTTGGGATTATACTTCTTTTCTCAATAGTTTTCCTGACTGTGTCTGTATGGTTTCTGAAGTATGTGTTGTATTTGAGATGCAGAAACAGCAACTCAGTATAATTTATAATTTCTAATTTGTTTCATCCTTTTCCTTGTGACTATTTTTTTGTGTTGTTGTTTAACTGTGTCTGGGTTTTGAGCTACTGATTTTTATTTTTCAGTTCTTTTATTAAAAGGCATTACAATGGCTGGCTCATTTTTCATTCTGGAGTGGTAAATAACTTGGAGACTACCATTGTGCATGCATAGTTTTCTTTTTTTTTTTTTTTTCCTCTACAAATGTTCCTTTGTTTTTATTAATGCCTAATTTCTCATTCTGTCTTACCACAAAATGGCCAGCTGTTGTAAGTGGTCATAAGCAGCTATTTACAGTCGTGCCTAGGCTGAACATTTTGTCAGGGCTCTTGAGTGTGAAGCATTATTTCCTTTTACAAAACAAGTTAGTTTTAACTCCCATGATAGTTAGTTCTACTTGTCTTGTAGGGACATCACAATTACTTAGGGGCTGAGTGTGTTAGTGTTCATGTTCACATCCTTGTTTGGATACATGTTCCACTTGTTTAAACGCCTTTCCTCCTCTCAACTTTCACTTCTGAGGGTTTTGGTCCTTTAAGAATTTCTCTCTGAAAACCATTTTCAACATGGTGTCATTTTGCTCATTTCAGTGTACCTTTTTAGTCTGTCTTTAATAATTGTCTACATTTTCATGTTGGTTCTTTGAATTCTACAGATTTTTTTCTGCTTCCAGAAACATTTTAATACGTGAATAATTTGTAGTTACTGTTGAGAAACAGTTTGTGCTAGGAAGTTCATCTTCCTTCTGTTCTCGTTTTGTGCCAAGAAGCAATCACTTAGAATTTCTAAACAGATTAAACTGTCTAGATTAAGTGTATTTTCTTTTTGTACCTCAGTGTTCATATGAAGATAAATTAATCATTAGCCTTTAATACTACATTTCACCCTCATCTCAATAATGTGAGTCATTATTGCTGTCCTGATTTGGAGGCCAGTCATGTGATCCTAACTATGTTTTAATTCTGGACTAGTTTCATACCTGAGGATTTTTATAATTTATATGCAATACTCTTCCTGTGGTTTGTTTATTCTGTTCCCCTGTGAACCTGATCTTTATATGTAATTATCCTTTTTTTAAAACGGGCAATTCAATTCACTTTTGCGCTTTATTCATGTGAACTAAAGTATTAAAATTGCAAAAAAAGTTACAAATTCAGTATGAAACTGCTTGATTCTTTTCTGGTGTACTTCTCAGGTCTATAGAAAGTTGATATTAAACCAATTTCTAAAGACTAGCTTTTGTAGGCATTCGTTTGTGTCAGTTTGTCCATATGAACTATAACTGATTTCTCATCATGGTTAGCCAATGAGCCATTTTTACATTTCCCTTCTTGTATCTGAAGTTACTTGATATACCCATGTGCAGAAATAGATTCTGGTGCTATTACTTTGTATGCAATTTTTTTTATTATTATTTGCAAGCCAAGTCTGTAGAATTGGTGAACAGTGTCATCTGCACCTTGAGGGACATCTGAACAAATGACTTTTGAAAAAAGTATGAAAAATATATGGCTTATTTAGCCTTCAATAAGGCATAGACAGATCCTATTCTCTGTAAACATATATCTCAAGACTTGTGTTTCAAGCAGTTATGGCTCTTATTTTATTGAAAGTTTGTAGAACTAGTTTTCTGGCATGTTAACTTGGCTACTTGGCTATTGAACTGTTCTTTTACTAGAAATTAAAAAATAAAGATCCTCTTTTTGTTGAATATGGTCTTCTAAATGAATGGTCCATCACATTCCTTTTTTAAAGCGTTTCATATTAGATGTATAACTCTAAAATACAACATTCTGATATTCAATTATCAGGGATTTAATTTTTTTTTGACTTGTCCTTGGTTCCACTTTCCCTCATTTTGCTCTATACTGTTTGGCAGTTATAATAAGTTGAAGAGCAACAGTAGTCTAGAATGGAGAAAGTTTCTGCTCTGATCATGAGTCAGCAGATACTAACTCAATGAAGAGAAAGTTAGTTAGAGTATAAAAATAATAATATTTTAACCTATGTCAGGAGGAACTCAGATTAGAAATATGTCTTTAATATTTCCTGCCCTTCTGCTCTCTTCTGGAGAAATCCAGTGAAGAGAGAGAAGCATCATAGGTTGTTATTCTTGCCAATGTCTCGATATGTCCTAACTATTTTTCCTACTTGGATAATTAAATCTTACACAAGATCATTAGTCTTGCAAGATGTTTCTCTTCTACTGTAACAGCTGGCTAGGAAGTTGGAGAAGCTAAATTGCTCCCCTTGTTGGCATGGCCTCAGGTAGCTAGTAGCAAGAGGGGAAAAAAACCAGAATAGCCTATTTAGAAGATTAGAAAAAATACTCTACCTCATAAGGTATGAAGGAATAACAGTTGTCCCCTTTAAAGAAGGTAAAATTATAGTAAAATATCTTTTCCTGCTGAAAAGAAAATTGAAGTAGAAAACTATAGTATCTTATTTCTGGCAATCTGGTCTTTTCCCGTTGGCAAGATTGGAATTCAAACTGGCTGCAACAAACCTTAAAGATGTAGATTGTTTCATAGAAAAGATGGATTATGTTAATGACTAGTAAAGGAAAGGATTGTTTCATAGAAAAGATGGGTTGTGCTAATGACTAGCAAAGAAAAGGATCCTCAATCAACTACTGTAATTGTGAAATTGTGAGTTTTATTCTACTCTGTTGTTAGTAAACTACTTAGTTCAGAAAGTTCCTAATTTTTGCTTTTACTGTCATTGCCTTAGACTTAGCACTGGCAGGCTTGGATTTTTGTCAATATATGTGGCTATTCCTAAAAATCATTTCAGTTTCTTATGGTACTTCTGCATCTTCTGTCATGGTTGGTTTGTGGTTTTTTTGGTTTTTTTTTTGTTTGTTTTGGTTTGTTTTTTCTCATTCTTGTTTTTTTGTTCTTCAGATAAATTTTACAGTAATGTTCAAATATGTGTTTTGACTCTCCTGGTAAATATTTAGTCCTTTGCCTGCTATTTGCTAATTAATTTAAAGCTTAGGCTACCTTTAAAAAGAAAGAACTAAGTGTACAAGAACATATGCATTCAAAGTAAATTAGTTACTCTTATCATTCCCTTTTTTATTGAAATATTTCTCTTGATGCTGACAATTAGGTGTGCAACTACATTAGCTTTTGACTGCATTTCCCTGGAAATTGTCTTGAATCATTGTACTTCTATTTCCTGGGCCATATAAATCATGGAGTTTGAATATATGTAAGTTGCAACTATTAGTTATCCTGTGCATCACAGATCCTGCATAATTACTAGGTATAAGTAATTTCTGATGTGCCTCTCATGCCCCTCAACTTGAATCACTTAAATATCTCTTTTGTACTTTTTTTATTTTTTTAATTTTCTGGAAAATAGTGATAATATTATTGATAGTATGTCCTAAAAGTGTGCTCTTGAACTTTGATTCAATTGAGGAGCTTTCAATGCTGAATTGTTTGCGGCCTATTAATTACCTTTTTTTGTGTTAATTTTCAAATCATACCATTAACTTTTGGGAAACTTAAAGGCTTTATAATCACTATTCCATATTACTTATGAGAAGGAAAGTTAGTACAGGTTATAGTTATTTACTTATGTAGCAGCTTGGTAATGTTATGTGTCAAACTGCAGTTATTTCACATGTTCTGTTAAGTAATTTTCAGCTGCATTTCTGGGACAGTGCCCTAGTCGGTAGCAGAACAATTTCCACCTGAATTTGTGAGAAGTGGATGCTTTCTAAGTAACAGATCTTGTTGAAGACTTCTAATATGTTCTAGTCAAGTAAATGTGTCAAATTGATTTCATTTGCCATTTCTTACTGAAGCAATTTGGTGTTTCTGATGTTACAATACTGCTCATCTGTGTCAGCATGGCACATGACATCTGTCTAGTGCTGTTACAGCTTGTGATGCAAAAGTGAGGCTGCATGAATGACTAAATAAAGTACTGAGTCATTCAGGGCCTCAGATTATAGTTATGGTAAGTGTGTTTTGAAAAAATCTTACCTTGCTGAGGTCATACAGTTCCCTATGTTCAACACTTCTTGTCTGTTGGGAAATAATTGGTAATTTCTGCATTTTCCCATATGTGTTTGTGTTCTAATGAGAAGGAATTTTTTCTAAACAAAAATCCAATTAACTATGAAAACTTTGCATATGTATTTCTTGTTTCTTAACAGCGCAACTTGGAGACTATAATGCTTCAGTGCATTGTTCAGGATATCTGTCAAATTACAACTTTATACCGGAGCAGAACAAGGATTTTCTTACCAAAGTAGAAACACTACATGAGCAACACAGGTAATGTGAAGTTTTAGCTCTCTCTCACCTCTTGAGCTTTTAAAGAAAAAAACAATGTTAAAAGGAAGACTCAAGTTCTTACTAGTTTCATTACAGCAGGCAGTTGTATTTCATATAGCTTATGTTAAATTAAATACTTGGGTTTATCACAGAGGTGCTATATTAATTATATTCAGGGTATGATGCTAAGGTCTTGAAACATTCAAATAAATTTCTAGTTATAAACTCCAGTAGCTTAGTTAGCCTTAAACATTGTTAAAAGCAACAATTTAGAGCATTATACTAGATGTTTGATGGGTTTGCTGCATGAAGGATATTTGATCATTTTTCAAATTCTATAGATTTTTTTTGTCTAAATATGTGGAAAAATACTCCAAGAAATGCCATTAGCACAAAACACTTCAATTAACTTTGTGGTTTCGCTCCCCTCTCCAGAGTGTAATACAAAGACTGCAACAGATTATTCCAGTCATTGCGCTGCTAATTATTTTTCCTGACCCTGCTGATTTGTCTCCTGTAAGACTGCAGCTTTGGAATTAGTGGTGTTGATCAGATACTTGCAAGCTGAATGCAAATATATCAATCTAAGAAATTGTCTGTAAGCAAATGAAATCCAAATCTCTGTAGACTTGTTTTCTCTGTCTGTATCTTAACTGCAGCAGAGCTAATTTCCCACTCTCTTAGTTTCTGTGATTCATACCCTGAAATATTTCCATTTTCATCTCTTCCTAATGTCCCTCAGCTATTTTTTCTCATCTTTCAATACTCTTACTTTTCCCTCTAATTTCTTTACTTCTAGTGGGTGTAGCAAGTAGCTCTGAACTTCACATGTGCTCCCTAGCCATCCAGAATAGGCATTGTCATTTATGGGGCAAAAGGAGATAACCATTGAACTCTTAACTCCAGCTGTTCTTTCTGTTGGAGATACTAGTCTGGAATGCTTTCCAAACAGTTCACGATGGGGCACACAGTAGCTGATGCCTCTATTCCTTCCAAATTATTTTACTGTTTCCAGTAGGTTCAGTAGTTTTTTGAGGGGGACTTTTTGATAGGAATGAATAAATCTGCTTATCTTTGGGAAGCAGTCATCTTGAAGACCACTGAGGGAAGTTTCTGAAGAGTCTTGGAGTGGCTGAGTTGAGCTCATCTATTTAGTGCTGTGGTAACAAGAGGTATGAAACTGGTTATGTTCTGCAGAGAAGATTAGAAGTTAGCATTGGTCCAGACTAAAGTGTGGTGGGGGTCTGTTGGAAAGACTCCTTTCTTCTCTTAGTCCTTTCAGTGATATCAGTGCTTTCATTGAGTGTCTTTGGTGGGGTAAGGCTTTGATGGTTGAGAAGTTTAACTTCTGTACTAGAATTAACAGAGATGTTAGTAATTGAAGGTCTGAATAAAGATACTGAGTAGATTGGACTGGAAAAATGTTTCTTTATTGTTTTAATGCCTGTTTTGAAACTTAGCTCCTAAGGCAAATTTACTTCAGAGTGCAAGGAGAGGCAGACAAATTATTGTTTATCCTGGCAGTATTTCTTGTGTACTCCTTGGGCACTCGTAGAGAACATTTATGTCTTGGACATGAATTTCACTAGATCAGTGCTAAGGACATACTTGACAAGAATGGTTCTGGTGTTCACCAGAGCTGCTGGGAAGGAAAGATGGAAAGGAAGAATTTGCTTTTTTACCTTTTGAGAGAATGTTGTTGATTTGGAATGAGACTTCTGCTAATCTGGAATAAAAATATTGCTGTAAACCATATATGTTATTTACATTTGGTATTCTTAGATTAGAGGGTTGCAAAGTCAACCCTATAAACATCTATCCTTTTTTCATTTTTTGGTATCTATCCTTTGAGAAACTTAACAAAGGAAAAGAAAAAGGCTGGAATTGCTGAAATACAGACTTGAGAAGTCATGTATTGTGTTATGTGTTGTAACTCAGTGCAAGGTTTTTGTTACCTAGATTTTGTGTTGCTTTGCAAAATCTGAGGAAGTATCTCCTGTTCAAGTCCATGTCACACTTTCCAGTGGATAAGAAAGCTTCTTTTTCTAAGAAAGCATTTATTGTCATATTGAACTGGTATAGCTTCAGAAATTTTCCTTCTGTGTTCATCCCTAAATCCATAGGGGGATTTTCCTGTAGATAGTTGGTTCTAACATGGTTTTTCTGCTGTTTTGCTTAGTTATATAAGCAGCTTGAGGTCTTAGGATGCAGCTATTGTCCAAATTGGTAAGGTTTTCATGGTGCTTGCTAGCCATCAGTTTAAAGAGAAGGATGTATTTGAAACTAAATAGTGTCTTTATATTCCAGATGAGGTTTGTTAGTCCTTGGGTATCAACAGCTATAAAAACTGGAACACTAAGACCAGTTTCCGCTTGCCTATTTATCTCACTGAATAATTACCATCTGCTTAGGGACCTGAAGGTTTCATTTCACCTCTGATTAAGTAGCAGGGTGTAACAACAATGAGTAAAATACCTAAGCCTGTGCTGAGATACTTGTGGACCCTTCAAGACACAAGGCATGACTGGTCTGGTGTAGATGGAGTATGCAAATTGAGAATTAAAATTTGCAGGCATGTTTTGTTAGTGTGCCACAGACCTTCTGAACAAAGATTTTTGCAGGTTATACCTAAATTGCATTTGATTAATGTAATTTTATGCATGTTGTTTCGGAATCTCACCTAGCAAAGAGTTGTTTATACCTGTACTTACAGAAGCTTTCTTCAAGACAAGAAGGTCAAATGCTTGTATGTCTCAGCTGCAGGAGAAAAAAATATTTTAGGGCTTACATATTTTAGGTAAACTTGGATGGCTTTTCTTTGGTGCATTTCATAATTTTAACTTTTAACCTGTTCTCTCCCCTTTATTTTATTAGTACATTTGTGCTTCTTTCTTCTAAATTACTTCTTTCTGAGGGACTATGAAATATACAATATTTACAGATACAGCTTCTTACTAAAAAGTAAGATTTTATAGGGGAATTGTATCCTCATTCCTTTGAACATAACAGATAACAAAGATTTTTCTAAAAACAGCTGGCCCAGAATGGCTGAGATAATAAATTCATGTATAATTCACTCAGTTTTTTGCGAGTACTTCAGCAGGGCCTTCACCAGTAAAGAAATCATAGCACTGCTTAATGGGAGGTTGTTTCTCAGGCGCTGGTTTTTGGCATTCTTCTGGTTTTATGCATTTAGAATAAATATGATACAATACCTTTTATTTTTTACTTGTCTGTGGTTCATATATATTATTTTTTCCCTTCTTTTAGTGGTCTCAAGCAATCTGAAGCAGAGTCCTGCTATATAAATATAGCAAGAACACTTGAATTCTATGGAGTGGAATTGCACAGTGGTAGAGTATGTTTACATTGTAATTTTTTCCTTAGAAAGTAAATTTATATGTTTGGGTTTTTTTACATTAATTCATAGCAGTAAAAAAAAAAAAAGTAACATTTCAGTGTTGACTGTATCATGTGTTATTTTTAATTAGAGCTGGATAATTTTTCAATAATTTATGTGTGACATAAGTGCTGGAATTTCAACCAAATAAGCTAGAGCCCCTCAAAAGTGTAACAAAGTATTTTTGAGATAAACTAATTACTGCAATATATTTTATTTAATAATTTTACAAAGGTTTCTGTATGTTTTAGCATGAAAGAAAATGAATGCCGTGTTTAGTGCTATTAGTTGGCAGGTATTTTAAGAGTTTTATTTCTCTAAATTTCTAGCACTAATTTCTTGAGTGTTAAGAATATTTTTCTTCTTAAGAGATTTTTCTTCTCGTTTCAATTCCTGTGTTCCCTGTTTCCAGGCTAAATCTAAGAATTGTTTAACAGCTTGAGAGATGACCACTGAAAATATATCTGAAATTTTTTAGATACAGGGTGTGCATTGATAAGAAACATGTCCTAGTATTTCACTGTCTGCTACTATTTAATTTTTTGACTACACTATTTATCTGAAGTGAAACCCCAACATGCTTTTTTATTTGCATCATAGCGTACACATTAAGGTTTGTGCTTCTATGCTATAGTTAATTGTTTTGGTATAAGGCTTGTAGTGTAAAAACTAAAGGAAGTGTACTACAGATAATTGATTTCCTAGGTGAAGATGACTTCTAGTTTTCTTAACATTTTTCTGAGTTTTGTTAACAATCCTGACACTGAGAGTTATAATGAAAAATTCATAAATTTCTTTAATGATGAGGAAGGAATAGAATGAGTAATTTGCTTTCTTCAGCATATTTTCTTCCTGTTTTTCTTTATGCTGCCACAAATAAGTGGGTGTTGCATTGGATTTCTAGGAATTCCTAAAATACTTCTTTATGAAGCGACCGTAATTACATTCATATTCATGAAACACAGTGCTCAAAAGGTAGATACTTTCTTTTTAAGAATGGAGAAAAATAGAAAGGAAAGGAAATTACTAAATCTGACTTTGTATAGTCTGTCCATTGGGTCATCTGTCACCTTTCTACTTTATTGAAGAAGCTCTTAGTGTTACACTTGAGATCACTATATGCACTTAACTTGATTGCATATTTGCCTTTTAACTGCTACTATAGCCTAGTATTTTGATAAGCCAACTTGAGTGCTAAGACTTCCACTATGTGACCAGTCTCTTAATACTAATGGGATGTTGTTTCTGAAAGCTCTTCCAATTTCCATTATTCTTCCTGAGCTGCAGACCACTGAAGTGCATGCAGGATGTCAGTAGTGGTCATACCATGCCAAGTAGTGAAGATAGACTGGGTTCAGACATTTTCAGCTAAATGAAATTTTTCTGCAGACCATTTTGCTCCTGTTTCAATTCAAAAGAATGGTTTTGTTGCAATTCATTTTTTTTAAGGAAGAAATATTTGAAGTTATTTGTTTTTTCTAGCAGTTGAACTAGACATCTAGACATTTAGAAGCTGCTAGGAAGGAAATAGAAAGCAAACCAGATAATATCATGCCACCTTTCAAATTGAGTTGTGATATCATTTGGATGTTGAGCTTCATTCTTCCTATCTCTTCCTTATCTCAGAGTAGGTAATGGAAAAAGAAAAGTACAGAGAAGGATAACAGTCATGAATGTTTTAAGGAGAAGCCTTCTGTAGCATGTGAACAGCATGGAGAATGTGAATAGGCAACAATTATTTTTTTTTTCATTTTTTTTTTCCTTTGGTAATAAAAGATTTAGGGATCTCCAATCTACCCAAAAAGAGACAGGTTTAAGTAAAGGAACTTTTTCCATAAGGCTGCAGTTGAACTGTAAACATTACTTCTGGTTTAATGGATGCCCAAAGTGAAATAATAATCAGGAGGAGTTAGGTCAGTCACTGGAGTCCATTAAATATAAAAGCTTCTAAACCAGGAAATCCTCTAGTTGTAAATGACCTGAAGCTGAGAAGGGAAGTGTGTGTAGTTGGTTGTCTCTGTGGTTTTGTACTTCCAAAACATCAGTTGCAAGTCACTGTTTGGATTGAATGCCATGAGGTAAACCTCTCAGCCAACATGAGATTGGTCTTTGCTTCCATAGGCCTGTTAGAAGTTTGCAGTGAAGGTTTATAAGCTGCTTCTTCATAGAGGTTACTATGTCCTGTCCCTGCTTTGGCATGGATGTTTACAGTGCCTCCTGATACCCTCCCCAACTCAGTACTGCTTTTAAATCATCCTTCCAGTTGTGTCACATCCCCGTGCCTTGACCAGATTTAGCAGCAGCTAATTAAACTGTGTCTGTGAAAGGCTTTATCTCTGTGGATTCTTATGATCTTGTTCCTCTTAGACTGTGTGTGGCAGAACCAGGTAACACCTGGCTTTTACACTAAGGGCCTAAAGAAGCTGGTGCTCCTGTACCGATGGTTGAGAGTGGGATACTTTTGGATAATGTTTCTTGAAGAGCAGATGAATATATAGCTTCCTTCATTTTTTTGTTTTATGATAAAAAGTTAAATATTTAACATAAGTATGAGCTTTCTTTTTAGCAACTTAGTAAACATGCAACTCTATTCTGAGCTCAGTTTTCATCTGCAGACACTTTTGATTTTTTTTCTGATGAAAAATCTGAACTGCTAAAATATTAAAAAATGCAATAGTGTTAGGAGACTCAAGAGAGTGAATTCAGTATCTTAAAACTATATTGATATTTCTTGAATTCCTAATCTCCTTTTCACTCTGGACCTCTATCCCATCTGCTCAATAATTAATCTGCTGTTCACTCATCTTTCATTTTTACTCAGAGAGTCGAAGATAGGAAATTTATCGAATCAATATTATTTCCATATCTACAAAAATCAAGATGGTAATTGTAAATTGAATCAAATATGAATCAGTACTTAACTAGCTAGATGCCTGACATGTTAATTTTTTATCTTCACAACTTCTGTATTATTATCTTCTTCATGTTACCTGTTTTTTTTAATAAATATATGCATGTTATTTCTTTGTTGTGCAAGTTAACAGCACGATGTTTTGAAAGGGAAATGACTGTACCTCATTATACCTCTCTTTATGCTATTCCAGCATCTTGATTTTGTGTTTTTTAGGCTAAACACAAGAGAATTCATAATAACAAATAACATGGCAGATTAGTGGTTTGGGTTGGTGCAGAGGAGGGTGAGGAATGAACTTTGTTCTGAAAAAGTTTCTGGAGAAAATAGAGTAGTTCAGCCAAATAAATCCCTATCAAATATTTTAGGTAATCCTTTATTTCTGCTTAATCATGTAGATTTTCAGCTTTTACTTTAAAAGCTGTTTTTTTCTTCACAATATTGATTTTTAAAAGCAGGAACCAGGAGTAAGCTCCAAGTAGGAATAATACAATTTTCTACCCTGCTTTAGTTGGCCATATCATGGCAGAAACAGCAAATTATAGCCAGTTAATCTCCTGGATACCTCAGTGTTCTTTCCAAGTATTAAAATACAGGGATGTCAGTTTTGGATTCCTGTATTATGCTTTGTAAATTAGGTTGGACTTCATTCATGTGCATGTATCACACTTCTATTCAACTATTTTTAAAGGATTTATTGAAGACTTCCCACAGTATTGCAGAGCACATGCTACCTGTATTTTCCTGTACTTTACTAATATAAAGAAATTGGGATTGGACATGGAGGAAAGCCATGTATTATTTGAGCCCAGAGTACCATCTAGAGGAGCAACTGTGCTACTGAAGGCCTGAACAGGATCTGTTACCATTGGCTGTCCTTTAAAAACAGTTTGAAACTGCTTTTGAGTCAAACCTGATATTTTAAACAATAGATTTTAGTTACATGTGGATTTATGTATGCATTTAGCTCTATTTAGAAATCTGTGTAATAACACATTAGTGTGTATTGCTCATAAGAAGTGGGAAGCCAAGATTTGTAACTTCTTTAACATCAGTCTAGGTTTAGGCTCAAAATGACCATCCAGTATCCTCCTCCCTGCTTTTTTGGGGTTTTTTTTGTTTGTTTTCTTTTTATTTCAAATGTTTGCTTATATAGAAGAATGTGTTTTCTTTTGAGTATCCAAACACCTAGAAAGGATTGTTAATTTATGATTTTTTTTTTCCAGTTGCATGTGTTAAGCTAATGCACAGCTTTTGGCTTAGTTAATAATGGATTTCATTTAGTTCATGAAATATTCATGTGTATTTCTCCAACATATTCTCATATGCAAAATTGTAGTCACTTCCTGTGCAGTCTTTCTTGGTAAGACCTTTTAGGAAAAAGTAAGGAATTATTTCCTCTCTCTTTTTAAATGGCATATAATCAGGCAATTTTTGCTCAGTTCCCAAAATTCTGTGACATTTACCTGACTAAACTTGGGCAGTACTTCAATTTCTTTCCTGAAATTAATAAGGCTAGACTTGAAGATTTACCTTTGATACAAACCACAGAACAGCCAGAGTAGTAGGATGAACATTACAACTTGTTTTAATGAATGAATAATGTTTAAAATGTGTAATAGATCACATCAAAGGAAAGAGATGTGCAGAAATCAACGCTTGAAACTGTCATTGATTTTTTTCCTCAAGTGTAGCAATTTAGGTATAGAAAGCTTGAAAATAAATTTATTAATAGATAAATGTAAATTAAACAAACTGCATCTGTGTTCTTACCGTATTCTTCTTTTGTAGGATCTCCATAATCTAGATCTTATGATTGGGATTGCATCCAGTGGAATTGCTGTATATAGAAAACTCATCTGTACAAGCTTCTATCCCTGGTAAATTCCTTTTTTGTAAAGATATACGTCCAGTTTTTTTCAATCTTACTTCCATGCGCTTTCACATTTATTCCAAAGAAGTCTACAATACATATATTTGTTCTTTATGGAGTATTGTAGTATTTTCTTGTGCTTAGATAAACATGAAATCTTGCCTAGGCTTTTTAATCTTTAAGACTTTTGAAGTCCTTGCACTGTGTGAAGTATTGATCAAGTTAATATACATTCAGATATGAGTACATGATTAGGAGGACCCTGTGGTCTTAGAGATTTTTTGCTGTTATGCCAAATAATATGTCTCTTTAAAAACAAACAAAACCAAACAGTATTGCTATTAAAACTCAGCCCCTAATTCAGTCTGAACTTTTAACGTGGCATTCAGCAAGAAGATACTTCTTGGAGTAGAAATGTCAAATGAGTTATTTGGAGTTATTCAGATTTCCAGGAAGTAGGATAATATAATTTAGACTTTTTAAAATCTCATCAAGTAAGGGTATATAACACTAACAAGCAGGTGAGAGACCTTCACATTATTCTCTGATACATAAAACATTAGAATGCATGATTGTGCTGTAGAAAATAAGCTCTGCAAAGAAATAATGTGCAAAAGAACTCTAATGTGAATGACAGAGAAGTTACATAAGCTGTAATTTTTTTTAAGTGCTTTTGGGCTTTATTAGTTAGACTATATTAAAAATTATAACCTGAATTAGAAATTATATGGAGGCCGGGCATTTTCTTAAGGTACTTGGGTTAGATCAGAAAGAATTTTTTTCAGTCTTTCTTTTTTAAAAGAAGTATGAACTTGTTTTTTTAGGCTTGATTAAACTATAGCTTGGTCACATTATACATGAGTTCTTTCTTGAATTTGCAACAATTTTTCTGGTTAACATTTTCAGTAAGATAGTATAGTGTTCTTAATTATGACAGAAAAATGCAATCCAATGGGTTGTACTTGCTTTTTGGCCCTTAATTATACAAAAAAATAAAGGCTCCCTAGCTGTATTCCTTAAATACTAGTGTCATTCCTTCCTTTCATTTATGAACCCAACTGAACAGCTATTTCCTATAGGAAAGCAATAAAATCAGTTTCAATTAAGATTCTGGAGGGAAATATACTGCATAGTCTCTGGATTTTTCTTTTTGTTTTCTTTGCTGTGAGTTGCATTTCAACTCCCTGGGATATACTGCAATCAGCTTGGATAAATATAAATCAATAATAATGCTCTCATACAGCAGCACAGTGAAAACTTGTATTTTCCATTTCTAATGCACATTGAAGCATGAAAGACTTATCTTTCATCTTTGTGCCTTGAGTGCTGCTCTTTCATACATTGGCCTCTCAGATTCTTTGAACCGCTGCAAGTTTTAAAAACTGCCAGCTGGAGGCACATTTTCTGTCTTCTGCCAGTCTTGTTCTGCCAACTTAGTTGACCTAAGTAACATATGAATGGGTAATAGTTGTTCCTGAAAAACATAGAGTAATGGCATTTTAAAATCTGTGACTATATGAAATTTTTAGGGAGGGGAAAGGTAGTTTATAGCACACAGGCAGGAGGAATCTACAACTTCCTGTGCTACTTTTACTCCTGGAGAGCACAGAGGAATAAAACACAGATGCTAAAACATTTTTCACAAGAGCCTATTCTCATTTACAGAAAAATATTGAGGGAAATGAAATCTACAGGTTTTTCAGTTCAAATATGAGTTCAAATATGAGTTTTAGGCAGTAATATTTTTTGCTGACAGCTAATGCAATTGTTCCAAGTCTCCTACTCAATCACTCACTCTCTCTAAAAATTTATTTTCATCTTGAAAGTAAAAGCTCCCTACACAGGGGCTAACTTGTTGACATTTTATTTCTGGCATCTTGCATGAGTTAATCATAATTCTTTATGCAGGAATGGTGTCCATTCCTTGATCCCACCAAAACACTGAAAAGCAAATGCTGAAAGCCACCAGAGTGGAGTTGCTTGGGATGTATTTGTAGAATGAATTCTCACTTTTGTTTTAGATCCCAAAGCAGAATATATTTCTGTAATGCCTGAAGTGATATTAATTTAGGATCTTTATGTAATACCATTTATATCAAGTGCCTTTTCCTATGGACTGTGCAAACTCCCCCATTAACGAGTTAGAACTCAAGGTGGCAGCAAACACCATCAAAGCACTCTTTCCGGAATCTTAAGTAAAATACTCTGCAGTGGATGACAACAATACAACCATGCCATATGGTAGTAGTCAAAGGGGACCAAAAGTTTTCAGGAGCAGAGGCAGTGAGAGAGTTCTGCCTTGGCAAAAAGAGACTTTTCAATCAAAGCAGCCTACGTAAAGAGCTGACTGATCAGTCAGCGGCAATGCAAGTCAAGATAGGTTTAAAAAATAGCTTTGGATTTAATGCAGTATTTTATACACTCTGCAGAATTATTCTCAAGGGTGCTTAACTGTTCTGTGGTAACTTCCAGATTGATTTTGCAAGTAAAATATTAACGGCAAAAATGTACAAGCACTATATCAGCAGCAACTAAAGTTAGGTATTAAATGCTATTTTGTGTATGCATTTTCACTGCTCTGAAAATTTCAGAGAAACCGCTTGAGGAATGCATAATACATTGCTAGTTAAAACTTGGAAAAGAAGTATCTTGCATAACAAATTGGTCAGAACCTTTCTTCAGTGGCAAAGTATAAGAATTACAGGTAAAGAAACTTTTTCTTTGCTTTAAGTCACAGCTGTTAGTACTAAGCTCTAGGACAGGACTGCCAGCTTAATCAAAAAGTAGTGATTCTGTGGCCCATGAATCTATTATGATGCTTGTGAATGATAGGAAGATGGGACCCAAAACATCTGTCATTCTTAATATGATACAACTAGTGAGTGCTTTTTAGGTAAACCCTGCATTTTATTTTTTGTGAATGTTGCATAGTCACTGGACAGATTATTGGTGAGAGAGAAGGGCTGCTGAGCCACCAGTTATAGTAACAGTAACTGCATTCCATTAATATACTTTTTGGGTATGACATCTTCAAGATTAAGACTAAGTGCTTTGGCACCTTAATCTCTTGGATTTTTTTCTAGATTTTTCTAGATGTGAACATTCAATCAGTTTGTGGGCATAACATTGCAAATGATTTTTAGTTATTCTTAAATAAAAATGTCAGAGTAGCAAGTGTTCTTCATGCCTGAACTGAATAGGTTTAGTTGTACTTGAAGAAGAATAAATGGAATTGAGAGGGGTATTCCATGTAGGAGAGTGTCAAAATAAAGTGACTTAATGCCCTGATTTGGCTTGAAGTGATTATATGGTCATGCAGTGAATTTGGTGGGGCTTTGGGGTTTTTTGGTTTTGTTTTGGTTTTGTGAGGGTTTTTTTGTTTTCTCAGTTTTTGTGTTTTGGTTTTTTTAATTAAAAAAAGCAGGGTGTAGAGGAGAGGTAATAAGAGAGTTTTGGTACTTTGGGAAGCTGTTTCTCCTTTTGTTGTTGGATGGGAGGCTTTTTTGCTTCATCTCCAAGGTTAGTTTTCTGTGTCCTGCATTTCTGCTGCCTTCATGCTGGGGTAAAAGCAGACCATGACAGCAACTGTGCAATCTGAGAATAACTCCAAAAACTTGTTTGTTCAAGTTTAATCTAAGTCAAGAAATGCGGTAAGAAAGAACCAGAAGCACAAAGCTTGAATGGTACTAGTTCAGGTAGACTAACACTAGAATCAAGAAAGAATTAATATACAATGAATTGCAGCTCAGTAAGTACAACTGAAAATTTATATGACTGTCAGGTAGTTCAGAATCAAGAACTTTTAGATGAGCAACACAGATCGCTGATGTTTGAGGTAGCAAGTCAAATGACACAAGTATTTTGAGATTTGGCCTAACAGGAGAGGTGGATATGATTTCAACTTCCCATTAATTTTCACGCCAATTTGTCTTGTCAAGGACTAACATTGAAATACCTGTTTCTTTGTGGTTCTGTAATTGATGGAGAAAAGCATTTTCTGAAATCGGCAGACACTGTTTTCCACCTCTTGTGCAGGAAGAGGGATAGATAATACCATGAATATTCTTGTTAGTAACTGGCAAATATACTTTCCTGTATCCATGAAGGACAAGTGTCTTTCCCATGAGCAGTGAGGGAATGAGTTTTACATCATCCTGCTTGATGAGAGTGATGCAGAAACCATGCCAAACTGAGAGGACTTGCAACATAGTTCATACCTGGTATCTAATATCCTTTGAAGCAGCAGTTAACGAAAATATTAGGAGTCTTTTAGCAGTAAACACACAAAACTCTTTCATGATTTTTTTTTTTTTTTATTGTCGGGCAAATATGACTTGATCAGACCTTAAATAGGTTTCCTTATGGCCTCTGTAAGATTCCAGCTTACCACAAGTCAGAGATTTCTTTGTCCAGAAAGTGCAGGTTTTCAGTTACCGAAGTAGAACTATTGCAGAGAAAATTTAAGTATTAGACAAATCTTGTTTTGCTGTGGGAGGGTGTGCAGGTAGGTAGAAGTTTGTTTAATGTAGCAAAACTAATAAGCATATTAAAATGAAAATTGCTTGAGCATTGATTCCAGTTGTAATTTTTACCTTAGAAAATATGTATTTGCACTGTGTATATTTTAAAAAAGGTTTTCAGTTCCAAAATTGCCACATAAATTACATGGCAATGTTAATGAAGTGAAAGATATTTTAATACTCATTCTTACAGTTTTCATCCTTCTAAAATAATGATTTTATCTAGAGGTTTTGTTTAGTGATTTACACAAGTGCATGACATTTTTCACATTATGGAACCAATTCTGCAGAGCCTCTGTGAAGTTTCAGTTGTTCTAAGACCAACCTTGTCATGTCATTAGGGTCTTAAATTTTGTTCCTTTAGTCACAGTTGTCATATGACTCTAAAGTTATACAAAAGTTGACACATTTAACATTTGTGCAGCTTAGTGTAGAAGATGTCATCAAGTTTTTTGCTGCAAGAATAGATTTGGTGGGAGAGAACTGCTGTGAACTATTTAAAGATTAAACGAGGACATCTATTTGCCACTCAGCACAAGAGATGGCTGCATATTATTCATTGAATATTTTACAGCTATAATCTTTCAGGCTCACTGTACTACATGCAGTATTATTTTTCATTGTTTTATCACTCTAAGCATTGCTCAATATTTCATGGCCTGTTTCTTTCTTTTAGGGTGAACATATTAAAAATTTCCTTTAAAAGGAAAAAGTTTTTTATACAGCAACGGCAAAAACATGTAAGTACTCCTCTAATTTTGTTTTGCTCAAGTGACCATATTCAATATTTTATATTGAATGTAACCTACAAACTGCTGATCAAAAGGCTCTATTGGGGTAATTTGCGTTTGAAACTGTTGGTCTTGCTATTCAGACTATAAGTCTGCTTATTTCCTTTCTTTTTCTATTTGTTTCCCTTTCAACCCTCCACTTTCAGTCTGTTTGACTATATCTTTCTCATTGAGGTTTCTTCTCCCTCAGAGACTTTGGGTAAATTCAGATCCCCATCCTTTCTCCAATATTTATTAACATAGCACATTTCCCCCTTTCTCATCATCATCTGCTGCTCTTTCCTTTGTTCCTGCCCTGTAGAGTTCCTTAATGCAGTAAATCTACTAAACAGCTGCTTATCCCATCTAGGGGGAGTTTGTGAGGTCCCTTCAGCTTATGGGGCTCCTAGCTCAGGAAGAAAACAAGGTTCCTACAGGAAAGGAGAGCTTTACAGCTGAAAAACATGAGGTTGAAAAGGAGACCAGCATACCTCCTGCTGTGTGTAACATAGGGAGCTTTAGGAGTTGGCAAATTCTGTGAAGATAGTTGATAAAACTAATGTAAAACTTTTCAACCGTTAAGAGTTGACTTCTGTTGGTTGCTTTGTGCTCTTTGCAGAACACTTGAATTTGTTTATTTAATGAGGGAGGAAATATTGATTGCTGATTATTATTGTGCTGCCACAATATGAAAAAAAGAAGATATCTTTTTAGAAAGAGCATAGATTATTTAATATGGCAGAAAAAAAAATTCTCAGGAGCTAGTGATCAGCAGATGTATAAATAGTTTAATTCAGTTGAGGACAAAGCTTGAGAACATAGTAAAAGGTAAGTGTTAACTTGTACCTAAACTTCATGAAGGCTCTTACTGGTAGTATACAAGCTCTTAAATTTATAGGAACTGTGTTACAAGACCACCTCTTGACCCACATAGATTAGAAGGTCTGCAGAACGCAGATTTCTAGGGAGGCTTTTTTTTTTACCCAAATGGAAAATGTTTTCTTCTTTTTTCTTGTCTGTATGTCTTTTTCCCAGTTTGGTGGGCTCTTTGAAAATTGAGAAGTGTGCAAGTATGTGCATGTTACTTTTCAGGATTCACCTTTAAACAAAGTTAATATCCATAGACAGTGTTACAGCATTAATGCTTGCACGTGCACACAGCATACAAAGGATGTGTCCTTACACACTGTAGGGGGATCTTAAGGTTTTTTTGCTAGCTCTTAAGTTTCTAAATGTATTGTTTATATGCAGTCTGTTCATTTATATTTCACTGCATGAAGAAATGAGTGGCTGGTAAGCCGTTCTACTCACTCTGAGTGTAAACACTTGCAAGTAGTAACTTCTCTCCTGGGTTTTAGGATTAAAAATTCACCGATAAATAGTAATTTTAAAATCCAAATATTTTCAAATATACAGATAAGTACAGGCTTACAGACAGCATTTTCCAAATGTGTCTGTGAGAATAAACATGGTAACAGAACTCTCTGAAAATTATTAGTAAAACAGGGCTTGGATCTCGATGATTTTAAGTTCATTCCAACCCAAACTGTTCTATGATTCTCTGTAAATGAGTGTACTTACAGTGGTTCTTGGATATGGAAGAATAAAGTGTCAATATAGAACAATCTGTGGATTTAATGTAGAATATGTGTGTTCATTACATAAAGACTGCTGTCAAAAGTAGAATTTTCGTCTCTGGAGACCTATGTCACTTTTAAAGAGAGCAGCAATCTTAATTTGTTCAATTAAACATTTGAAAGATGATGACAGTTCAAGGCTCTTGATTCTTTTAGCTTACCTTCTCTAAAGTGATCATAGTTCTTTGTTTCATAACGTGCAGAGATGACAGTAATGCACACACTGTCATGCATAAAGTGCTACAGAACTGTAAGAAAAGCAAGGCCAGCTGCATGACTTCTTTACTTCTTCTCAGTACATATAAAAAAGCAGGCCAGGTGTGCCACTAAATCTGTGGATACATCCATCCTTGTCAGCCCCCTTTGCTTGAAATGTAGGGCATCAAGTGTGCAGTACTCCGGTGCTATTGCTTGGAAAAGCTTGCTGGTGCCCTGCAGTGGGAGAGAGGGGAGTGGAGTCCTAGGGGTTTCACCAGAACAGTGGGGTGCTTGAGGGGTGTGTGAGGGCAGATGGCTGCATTGGTGTCAGTCTTTGAATTTATCAGATTTTTGCTTTAAAATACAGAAGTAAATAGGTAAATGAATCTGAAAGTAAAGAAGATGAAAGAATGTGGAGAAAAGAGCAGATACTGTATATTCCTGGGCAAGGTTTGACTAAAGATGATGAAAATGCTACAGCACTTCTTTTATATTTTGTATGTTGTATGTAGATTCTTTACAAAAAATCTACAGAAAGTTTCCAAAAGTAATGAATTTGCAGTCCCCTGGGATATGCCATGTTTCATTGATTTATTCTCTTTATTTCGTTTACTCCATTTTTTCTTTCCTTACTTGCCACTTCTGAAAAATCAGCTTACCTTATCTCACTTTTTCCCTGCTACTCACCCTCTCTTTTACCCTTCCACTGCTCCAGTCTGTTGATCAACTACTTGATTAGGAGTATACAGTATTTGTGTTTCTACTGAAGAGACAAATAAAGACTGGGGAGCAAGGCTGATGAATCAGTGAATGTCTGATGCTATAGAAACTCATGACATGTAGGCTTAATGAAGGGTGCAGGATTTAAGGTAGGAATAGGAACTCTGCTGTTTACAGGCAACATTTTGTACCTTTCAGAAATGAAATTTTATTTTCAATGTGCCTAATTAATGCTAAAACCAAATACATTTGGTGCATACTAAAATATATCTTTACTTTCTATGCTGTAGATATTTTCAGATTTTTGTTAATGGAATAGGTATGCAACTGATGCAGAAGTTCTTCCATATGTTGCACTAGCCAGACACTTTAGCTATGTGGAATTTTTCCCTTTACCTTAATGGCCTCAAATGTCTCTAATTCTCATTTCTTGATAATCATTAAAATGCTATTTCTTTAGAACTTGAGAAGTATGATGGGCATTCCATCCTTGTATCCCACTTGAACTCTGCTCACCTTTAAAAAAGTACACAGATTTAACAGCACGACTTTTAGTTTTAGTGGCCTGCTAGTGGGGCAGATTGTTATTAACAAAAGATTATGTTAGTGTAAAAATTGAATAAATTTTTATGAAACTTCTCAAAATATTTTTCATAACTTAAATCAATGTTAAAACTTACAGCCTACTTAAAGGCTGCTAAGAAGGTTCTGTGACAACAGAAAAGCACAACTGTAACAAGCAGAATTCATTACTGTTTTCAAACCTAAATTTAAAAAACAGAATATCAGATGTACTTAATTCTTTATCTTTATACTATAGCTTTTCAATGTAATTGAGATGTTTGGGTAAAATAATTTTTGTGGCAACTGAAAGGCCAGCACTTCAGGCCAACAAAATATCTATAAATTTATTTTTATTTGTCTGCTGGAGTAGTAAAACCCTTCAAGTGGTGTTCAGCCAACAGGGAGTGTATCAGAAATGGCATTTGCAATTAAATCATTGTGATTTAATGTGATTTCATTTAATATACATACTGTATATATTTCAAGAAATTCTGAGTTTAGATTTCACTATGCTTTCCTGCTTTATTTTACTTAGTAAATTCATAACTACTTAGAAGCAACTGTGGTGCACTGACAAAGATGAATTGGTTACAGTATGCAAGAGACTCAAATAAGAAACCCACATCTTGAAAATACTTTTTAAATGTTTTAATAGCTATAGGGAAAATATTCCTGAAAGATTGTAATCAGTTAAATGTTTTTCAGTGCCTATGTCAAATCAAGAGGCAAATATTTTTTTCTCTCGAGAGTCTCACTGTTTTGCTTAAAAGCATGTCTGAAGCCATAGATTCTCTGGAGTGGACATGAAGTGATTTTCAAAATGCTGGATTGGTCTCAGATATGTGGCATTTGTAAAATGCTGCCTAGAACTAAGAATAGAAGAAAAACAGAATGACTATTCCAGCCAAAATGGTTTGTAGTTACTTTCCAACAAGATTGTTGCTGTGAACAAGCGAAAGGTTACCTGTCTAATTATATGCTGAGATGTCAAAATCAGTCATAATTTAGAGGAGCTGGAAAATATGAATGATGAAAACTCGTATTTTTGTCACTGGAGTGCTGAGCTGTGCTGGCAATTGACTCGGGTCTCGTATTACTTTGATTTCTAGTCTTTGCTTTGCTTTCATTCCACTTTCTTTGCATCAATAACTAGATTCACTAACCAAAGCTTTCTGTTGTACAAAACTCTTGGTATAAACATTGCTGGCACAATTGTGTTGCACTTGTGTTTCACTGGCACTTTGGCACTGAAGTTACTTGTAAGAGTTTGCACCAAGACATGAAAGTTTTATATTCTGCTGCCTTCTGATCCTCCTCATGTTGGCCTTAGATTATCATCCAAGCAGGAATGGTTTTCAACAGCAGTAGCAGCAGCTCCTGTCCCATCACAACTACTTTCTTTCCCCCAAGAAAGATCACTGTTAACATCTTCAGTTTCATCTGAACAACTGTCAAGAATGCTTTTTTGTGTACTCTGGTGCTTGAAAGAACATTATTGAATTGAAGCCTTACATGAAGCGTTTGAATTCAAAGAATGAGGGGTTTTTTTTCCTTTTGACATTGTATACCCTTAATGGAATGTTTTAAAGAATTTTGTGTGTCTTAGGAGGTCAAAATCTGACTGGAAACCTGAAAATATTTTTACTGGTATAACATGATATTCATGTATACAAAATCTTTATCGCTCTAGACTTAAATATTTCACTAACTTATGAAGTGCACATTTTGCAGTGTGGAATTTCATTTAGTCACAAAGGTATTTTGGCCATCTCCAGCTACTGTATGCCAATTTTTGTTTGTTTGTTTGTTTGCCTCAATGTATTTTTCATGTTTAAGCTTAAAATAATTTTATTGGTTTTTTATGACCTTGTTTACTGTTTCATCTACTTGTATATGTTGAAACATGGTGTTCCCTACTGTTACAGAATGAATCCAGAGAGCATATTGTTGCCTTCAACATGTTAAATTACAGAGCATGCAAAAATCTTTGGAAATCTTGTGTAGAGCATCACACATTTTTTCAGGCAAAGAAGTCACTACCTCATGAAAAAAAGATATTATCACATTATTGGACTCTGGGTTCTAGAAATCCAGCAAAGTAAGTATTGTGTGAAAGCATGTTTTGCTCTATGATGGGAATGGGAAGATTCGTGTCAGTGGTAGCTCTAGTTGTAGTGGCAGAGTTCAGTCCTGTCCATAGCTTTGTTCCAGTCTATATATGAACCATTTGACAAGTTATATGGTTGTGGTTTCACTTTCTGCAATGTGATCTATTACAGTAGAACTTTTGTTATAATTGCCTCAAGAGGTGTTTGGATATACATTTTACTGCTATTTTTTCAATTTGCTGCTTCAGTCTGAAGTATAAAAACACTGGAAAGGAAAAATGTCATGTAGCTAATGATCCAGTAAGAGAATTTGCAGAACAGATTTGTTTTGAAATGTTTAGCCATTAGTGTCATATACACATTCTGCTTAATATGTTAGGGCAATTTCTAGAGTGCATCATGCCAACCACTTATTGCTGACATAAGGATGAAAAACTTTTTCCCATTCAGGTATTCAAAATTCTCCCGTTTGTGACACTTCTAAGTCTTTGTTTGCCTCATTGGATTCTTCTAGTTACAGAGCTGGTAGCTTCCTAGTGTTGTCTAAGATCTAGTTAGCCAAAAGTAATTGTTTAGAGGCTGTACATTTCCAATATGAAGCTGGGATTATTCCTCCCTGTATGCAGTAACTGGGCCCTATCATCATGAAAGTTAAGCTGCCAGTTTATTGTCCAGTCACTTGACATGACTCCATTACTTTGCAGTTGGCCTTTATTTTGGCCATCCTGTGTGATTTTTGAAGTGGGAGGTTTTACTCAAGTAGTTCTGCTCTTTTATCTTAGTGGCTTTTAGACTTTTTTGATAAGTATCAGTCACAGTGATTTTGTCCGTTTTGTTGATTTGTTCTGCTGTTACTTTTATCAGCAGTTCAGCTACAAAGGTGTCATGTCCTGTGTCTTCATTGTCTTGTCCATCCCATCCCAATCCACCTACCCTATCCCCAAAAACATTCTGTAAGGAAACATACAAAAAATTTTTAATATTAATAGTGAATGAAGAAGAAAGTCTTGAGTCATTATCATCTCTGGATGTGAGATTCTGGGGGGTTCTTTGACCCTTTGATGACCTATAGACTCTCAAGAAACCTGCTTGTTCTCATGATTTTTGGAGAAGTATTTTATTGTTTTCTTTTTGTTCGTGGGTAGTGTGTTTTTGTGAGTTTTTTGTACTGTGTTCCCTTAACAGTTTATTTTACATTTAGCAGACTGATTTTCTGTCTTCTATTTGAAAAAGCTTAAACTTCTGAATGATACCAACATGCTCCAAATAGCTTCTCTGACTTTGGTGGCTCTCTGGCTTTTCACGCTCTGACGTCTCTTTTGATACTGCAGAAATTAATACCAAGTGCAGTGGTATTGCTTGTAAATGAAGCAGTTAACCCATGAGGGCTGCCCAACAGTAGGAATTTTGATAAAATGTTATGTTTTCTGCTGGAGTGCAATTCCATGTTTTCACTTAGTACTAGATCATAGCTGCATGATCTTGTTTCTAGATCATGATAAAAAAGTAGCTGTACAAACAGTATTCTTATTTTCTAACATTTTACAAATCCCAATTTTTAGAATTAACTCATTTATGGAGTGTTATGACCTTGTTTTTCTTGTAGTGGTGTTGTTGAGGAGGTGACTCTCAGGGTTGGTTGGATTGTCAGGTCCTTTTTTTCTTTCTAATTTGCAAAGAGATTCAAAACCCTGATCCTTCTACAAACAGATATATACACACAAGCTTTGCATGGCATTTGTAATGTTAATAAAGAAAACAGTATGAGTTCCAAAGGGTACCAGTTTAGTATCATTCCATTTTTTTACCAAACATTTTATCTTTGACAAATCTGCTGTTACAATTTCTTAATAGTCTGTAGCATACAGAACAGTTCTCATTGTTGATCTGAATTGCTAAGAAAAAATTCCTTTCAAGTAATTTCAATGCTCTGAGGCATTGTCTCTGCTGAATTGCTTACTTAAACTTTTAATGAATCTCCAGAGGAGGAATCAGTTATGGAGATACCTTCAATCAGCTTAGTGATAACCTCTTTGACCTTATTTATACCCAGCAGTAAGCTGGGAATTTTAGGATCTACATCAGGAAGAAGTAGCTCAGCAACCTTGCTATGAAAGACTGCTTAACTACATAAGAAGCAACAGTAATTTTAAAAAACTCTGAGTAGTTCCTATGAACTCAACAAATTATTCTCTCAAAAGGTTTAAGAAAAACTGTGAAAAAGTAACTTCTGAGGTCATATTTCACATATTGAAAATTTTTACTTTCCCACTCGTTTATGATTGTGGAATGTTGTAATATTTTCCGTGTTCCTTTTCAAGGATGGCTCTGAACTCATGTGGAAGCTACACAACCAAAAAAGAGATTCTGCATTATCCCTTGTGAAAGGGAACAAATTTTTGCATTGTATAAATCAAACAAGCACAAACAGACAAAACATGAAAACAAACCATGAAACCAAATGTGCGCACAAAAACTCCACCGAGCATATTGTGCAGTCCTGGAGGTTTTAAGATTGACTTGTGTTTAATAATTCTTTTCATGCTTTGAAGGGTGCCACATTCAGGCTTTACCATCTTAAGTATCACAAGTTTTCCTATGGAATTTTTTGCTTTCTTGTTCTATGTTCTTCTGTACTTCTGTGAGGCAGATAGCCTAGCATTTATTGCATCAGTTCAAATAGTTGCAGTACTTGAGTACAATTTCTTACTTGCATATACCTGTGCCCTGCTTGATTCTCTTAGCTTAAGGTACTAGAGGCATTCTATTTAAATTAGGCTGCTGAGTTGCATAAATCACCTGTAAGCCTTGTTCAAGGAGCAGACTGAATAACATCTCCTAGATTGTGAGAGGTAAATTCTGGACTGAATGCTGAATAACTTCTCCTAGCCACATTCTTATTACTTATTGAAAAGCTAAAAATGTATCCATATTTTTCACTAAGGATAGACTCAGTAATAGATTGTAGAAAGGAAGCATCATTTCAAGATAGTACAGCCCATCCCAGGAAGGCTTTGGCAGTCTCCCAGAATGTTTGCTTGGAAATATGCTGATATTTGGCATCTGAAGGGCAGCTGCTTGAAGTTCAGGAGATTATTTATCTTTTGCCTTAACTGAAATATCTGGAGACATACCCTGTAAGTGATTTTGTGGTCAGGATCAGGGGTTTAAGATTAGAGTTTGGGTTTAGGGTTCTGGCTTCTATCATGTGAGTTATGTTGCACTTCAAGTTGTCTGTGTTGGAAAATGCAACAACCAACAGCTTGTAAAGAATCTGATTATGTGGAGTTCTTCACAATGCATTTTTCATAATGCATCCCATTTTCCAGTCTTTCTCTCTGCTCCACCTATGTAAGGCTTCTTTGAAAGAGCTCTGTTTCTGAAGAAGATGAGTAGCTGGTACCTTTTCATTGTATTCAAAAGTCTCAGAAAAATAAAATGGGTAGTATAGCCAAAGCTTCTCCTGAGTTGATGGACTTCCTTTACTATGCATGAATTTTTATTTTTTATTTTTGCTATGTCAAATTGAGACTTTTCAGTTCTGAAGCAAGGTCCTTATATCTGCTATCCCAGTTGTCCATTATGTACTGTACAGCTCAGGGCTTAATAAGCCAAAGGTGTTTTCTCTGTAACTAATAAACTGTTTCTTCTATGAGAAATCCTAGGCCTGTAAACTCAAGGATGAGCAGCTTATCTCTCACCTTGGCTTGTGGAATGCTGTATAAAATGATGCATAAGAGTTAATTTATCTCTATTTCAGTCTACTTAAATATTTTCTTTATGCTGTGTATTTTCACTATTAGGATCCTTTTATTGCTTTCCTAGCTGTGGTTCTTATCCTGGTATAGCCCTTTTCTTGTCAGATTCTTGTCACAAGAAGCAGTCGAGACCTGGAGATCCTATTTTCATTCAGATATTTTTTAGTGGTTTATCTCTGTAGGGAATACATCACTCAAAAGTGGCTTCCTTCCACAATAGAATGTTGTCTGCTGTAGCTCTTAATTGATGAGGCGGCCGGTAGATGGGTATAGTTGTCTTGTGCTCAGTGAAGCTCTTGCTGAATTGTTACCCTTTGTGAATATTAATTAACAAGGAAGCTTCAGGACATATTACCTGTATTTGAACTCTATTTTGTCAGACACTCAGTTTAGTGCCAGTAGGACATAGTGAATTTCCTGTTTTCCCTTCTGTCTTCTTAAACACAATTGGGTTAAAAATAATTCTCAGAAAAAGTTATTTTTACCCAGGCTTGTGATTAGCAATGTAGCAGGGATTAACAATCACTTTTGTTGTCACAAATGAGGGACAGCAAATGTCTCTGAGAATGTAAATGCATAAATAAGGAGGGGTAAGCACAGGGGACGTTTTAAATTATGAAGTTGACTTTCATAAGCATATTTTATTTCATTTAGATTTTCTATGCAAAATAACTCACATATAATTGTTTTATATCTTTTCAGGTCTGTAAACAACCAGTTCTGCAGAAAAGTGATAGGTGGGATGGTTTGGAACCCATCCATGAGACGATCCTTATCAGTTGAGCACCTAGAGACCAAAAGCCTTCCTTCTCGATCACCTCCTGTTACCCCCAATTGGTAAATCCATTTTCAGCCTTCTCCACACCTTCTAGCCTCCTAACATTTCTAATTGTATGTACTCCAGCAGAATAGTTATATAGTGTGTACATACATATTCAAACACTTTTATTCTGAGAATGTATATGACAACAGAAGGATGTGTATCTCTTACCTCAACTTTAGCAAGGCTTTCATGCTGTCTGCCAAAATCTTATACCCAAGTTAAGACACTATGTTTCTGAATATCCATACCTGGACAACAGGGTGGTTTAAAAAATATGTTAAAATGGTTGGATGACTGGATGACTAAGAAGTGAGTTGTTAATGGGTCACACTCTAACTGGACAACAATAAAAAGTAGATGACTGCAGGGGCTCTCTTGGGACCTGTCCTACTTAACGTCTTTATGACCTGGAGGAGGCAATGAGAACTTGATCATAAAGTTTGCAGATGGCACCAAACTGGGGGTGTCAATAAGCCTGGGGGCAGGGCTGCTCTCCAAAGTGTTCTTGATAATCTGGTGAAATGGGCCAATAGAAAATGTGTGAAATTCAATGGAGACAAACTTAGTGTCCTGGGAAGTAAGAACCCAGTGTAACAGTATTGTCTGCAGTGCGGATTTCTGGAGAAAGACTGGTAATCTTTATAGGCAGAAGTGGTACAGGAGCCATCTGATGTGCCCTGACAGTAAAGAAGTCCAACCTGGCAGAGTTAACAGAGTCTTACACAGTAGGACAGTGGAAGTGGTAGCCCCCTTTGGCTCATCATCCTCTAGTTTTTATTAGAATGCTGCAGCCCTTTTTGTATGCAAATACAAGAGAGAAACAAACAGGACCAAGCTCAGCAAAGACCAACAGCTCCAAGGTAACCAGTAGGCTGGAGCACCTACCCTGTGAAGAGAGGCTGACAGAGTGGCACATGTTCATTCTGGAGAAGCAGGGGTTTCCCAGATGCCTAATAACAGCCTAGGATTACTTAAGAGGAGGCCAGCTACAGGATGAGGCTGGATTTTTCACTATTGCATAGTGGGAGGATGAGGCAACAAGTATATATTGTAACAAAAGAGGTTTTCTTAGAATATAATGGAAAAACTGCTTCACCACATGGACAGTCATTGCCTGGGGAAGTTGTGTGGTCTCCATCCTTCAGATTTTTGGAGATATGAGTGGATAAAGTCTTAAGCAGCCTACTCTGGCCTTAGTTGACCCTGCTTTGAGCAGAAGATTGGACTAAATTACCCCCATAAGTCCCTTCCAACCAGAATTATCCTATGATTAAAACCTGAATAATATAAGTTGCATTTTACATGGGGTGAAACATCAAATAGTTCAGTGTATTGAACCTAGCAGTGCATAATTGCCTAGTATACCATACAGGATGCTTAAAAATTGATTATTTGAAGTGAGATTTATTGGCCTGTTATGAAGATTTAGATAATAACTGCAATAGGATAGAAATTTTTCTTCTATGAAGTTTCATGACATATTCTAATCTTTCTGCTTGTGTTTGTATTCTGTATTTTTAAGGCGGAGTCCTAGACTACGTCACGAAATCCGCAAACCACGACACTCATCTGTAGATAACCTTACGAATGAGATTAGTTATATTACTGAAACAGAGGATGTTTTTTACACATATAAGTGCTCTCCAACATCAAAGGAGAGTGATTCAGAGTTCTCTCAGAACCGTAGTCCACAGAGGAGGTAAGGACTTCTGCAAACAATCTATTGCCGATTTCAATTTCTTTAACAAAAAACCCTCAAAAAGGAGTGGTAGTGTGAAACAGTCACAATCAGTTGTAATGTTACAATGAGTTCAAATAGTTTTGTTTGCATAAGCTTTATTTTGATCAATTTCTATACTGCAAATGCCATGACACAAAATGACAAGTCAAAAGCAAACCAACCCTTCATCCCTAAACAATACACAGTAGTTGAGCTGTTAGAGGAGCTACTAAGGCATGTCTCTTCAAATCTGTAATATCCTGTTTCCTAGTAGCTTTTGCAACCTTTTCCTACCTGTCAAAACCTCTTTTTTGAGGGGAGAATGACTTAGTGAACTTTTTCAAGAGTTCACTCACATTCCACATTATCAGTTCAGCCTTGTCAGTTGGAAGAGGTATTGTACTTGAATATACACAAGAACATCGTAATACTGGTGGTCATCCATCTTTTTCATCTTCAGAGGAGCTGTCGATGGCTTGTCTAAAGGCAGTGTCTGCTTTTTGGCTGTATTCCTTGAGGACCAACTTTGTTCTCTTCTGCAGTGCTTTAACAATGCTAGGTTTGCTGTCAGGAGCTGAAGAAGCTGTCTTTGTGCACTCTGATTATTTGTTTGCTCATGTATTACATTATATGTATGGCTACAGTAATTTCTTAATGAATAAGATTATCACAGCTTCAGAAATAATGTACAAAATCATTAATTGTTGAGTCTCAAAAAGAAAACAGATACTTCAAAACTTGGAGCTGGGGAGAATGCTGTGTATTCAAATGCATGTTCCTTTGTAGCATTACAAAAGAAAAATGGTTTTTAGACACACCTAGTGACTTTAAGGCAAGGTGTATTTTGAGAAGCAATGTCTTAATGGAAACTGATAGGACTCACCTGCTTCTGTGACAGTGTGCAGGTACTAAATATACCTTTAAATTCTGATTGAAACTATTTTCTTCAAATTCTATAATAATATTATTACTGCATTACAGCAGAGAATTTTCAGTAAAAGAAAGGAAAAATTGACATGTATGCATATTTGGATTTCGTCACTCTTTTGAGTATATTAAGTATTTTGAGTTTGTCTCTTCATTTTTCTATATTTCTGACTAGAAAACAGCTGAACCTTAATATTCTTTATTAGTACTAATGGCAGTAGTAGCCATGATAATACATAAAAGTTAGGGCTTTAGATGTTGTGAATAGTCATAGGAAACCATGTCCTTGCTGTGTTTTAAAGTTCACAGATGATACGCTTTTAGGAGCATTATCTGAGTAAAAATACTGAGAGGCAGACATAAGAAGAGATGATGAGGGTAGAAGCTGTAGGCAGAAAATTAAGTTGCCATGCTGTGTTATGTGACTGGTGAATTGTGTCCTGTCAGCTAGTACATTGTGGGACCTCTCATTTTCCTTTTTCTTTTCTTCCCCTGTAGTTTTTTTTTTCCTTTCCTTCCTGTTTCAGTTATCTTATACCTACTGAGAATGGAGTGGAAAAACCTGCCTTTATGCCTTTTCTCAAACGATGAATAAAAGGATGTTCTAAATTTGAAAAAAGCACATTAATTTCTTTTCTGAGCCTCAGTGACTCTGCTGAATCTGAGTAATATCACTCACTGTGGAGATTTTTACTGCTACTATCTCATATAAACCATTACTTTTCTTCTTACAACTTATCCCAAATGCATTATTGTTTTTTTGAGTGTGTTTATGATATTTGATACTGCAAATGAAAAAATGCCTGCATAAATCTGATTAATTAAATTTGTGTGTTTTGGAAGAAGAATGGAACGAATGATCCTTTGTTGTATTGACTGTTAGACTTTTGTGAAGTAAAATAGTCATTAATCATTTCCTTTTTAACAATTGAGATAAAATACAAAGTAGCCATAAAAAAAAAAAAAAGTTTTTTCTCTACACTGGAGTTTGTTAGTCCACATTCCAGTTTTTTCCTTTTTGTAATCTTACAGTAGTTATTACTTGTTTCACTTTCCGTGTTGAAAGATGCAAAGTGAAATTAAGTATGTATGTGTAATAAAATCTTGCTTTCCATGAATGCTTTATTGATGGATGGAATCTTACCCTATCAGCTGTTTGGTAAGAAAAAAGTTTACCTTGCATAGTCTCAGTATTAAATATGGACACTTTTGCCACATATTGGGAGTATTCAGACATTAACTATAAAACACCTTTTAGTGTACCATGCTGGTCTTCAGTGGATTTGAACTGATATAATAGAAGCACGCTATATAAAAAATCCCCCAGATTTCCAATTCCTTTTTCATTGGAGGAGAGTTAAGAGTAGCTTCCCATAGTCCTGCTAATACACATTGTCTTTAGGAGGATCTTTTTTTAATGCCAAGCCCACTGGGACTGTTAATAAAGGTGTTAGTTAATGCTAATTATAACTACTAAATAGCTTTGGCATGAAAAATATCTGAAACATTTTTAGAGAGCTGCTGGCGAACAGCCGTAAATACTGGCATTTAATCACTGAATGGTTATGTCTGTGACCTCATATTAATAATAATAATAATTCTGCAACAGCTTGATTTCTGTAAAGTAAACATCAATTTCATTTACTGTTTTTGAAGCAAGACTCTGCAAGCTGCAGTTAGCATGGAATGTGGCTCTTGGCTTATTTTTCCAGCTGCCATCAGCATTGCAGGGATGGGGGTAGTCTTCTCTCTTTTTCACTTTTTTGTCATAACAAGTGGTTTGTTGTTGAAGGTAGGATAGACCTACCTTCAAACTGACCTTTTGTGATAAAGTGATTTTTGAGGCAAATCATAGATAAAACTCATGTACAGAGCTTGCTACCTTCCTAATCCTGCCAAGGCACGTTTGGAACCTTGGATATGAGAAATGTAGAAGCAGTCACTGCTGGCAAAAGTACATACACCTGCATTTATTGCCCTATACAGCTTTTTATCCTTCCTGACAATACTGGGTATATTTGTTTTCTTAATAATTGATTTTCTTCTTCCTCTATTTACTCACGTATAGGAATCAATCAAGTTCTACTTTCTTTCTATGAAACAGTAGACAATTTAGGAAACAAATTATGTGGAACAGCTCTTAGTTTAGAGAGCATAAACCATAGCAGTTGTTAATATTTCTTCTTCCATTTCTTTGAAGATGCAGTACCATATCAACATGTCATCATCTAGAACTATGTTTGCTGTTAAAATCCTCTAAATGAATATGCTGGAAATGAGGGTCGATAGTATTTTGTCATTTCTTATGTTGCTTCTCTTAACAATTATATAATAATTGTTCTTAAAATGTGCTTTGTGTAAACACTATGCTTTCTAATTGAAATTTGAGGTATGTACCACAGGTTGTGGAAAAAGAAAACTGGAAAATTGTGCAAACCATGCACACAGGTGAGCTACAAAAAGCCAGGGTAAGCTGTTGAGCACAGTGCTAGGTGCAGCTTTGTTGTTCCTACTACCCAGATTATGTAAGTTACTTTCACAGTCAAGAACCACTTGAGGTTCAGACGTAGTAAAAAAAAGCACATTTTCTCCTTCAGTTTAGTGTCTGCAGAAAATACTTGAGTTGTCTATTGCATCTGTATTATAGAAAAAAGTTGCTCTAATCCCAAATTAACATACGTTATTTAGAACTTCATTTGTAGGGCGTGAATAGGTTTGCCTATCTAAGCCAAATATCTGGAATCATTGCTTATCTTTCCTGTCAGGAAAGATAGTGCTAAAGAGGATATGAAGCGAACTTTTGTTTAGCCCAGGTCTCTCCAGCCTTTGTGAGGAAGATGTCCTCTGTCAGTTCTTCCTTTTTGTTGCCCTGTTTTGTTGCCCTGAACATCTCAGCTGAATGCTACTGCCAGTGAAAAATTAGTGCTAGCACAGACAGGGAGCCCACACTTAGCCTTCTAAGGTCTCATATGTTGCATTCCCTGTTGTACAACACTTTCTTACAGCTGTACCTCACCAGTTCAGACCAGGTAACCCAGTCTGTTTTCCAACTACGTTATACTCACTCTTTCACTCTGTTTATACTATGCCTGCATGTTTATATGCACATGGTACCGTAACTAATTTTTTCTAAAAATTATTTCAAAAACAGCATTGAGATAAAACATACTAATTAGTAAGTTCTCTTGTTTGATAACTGTTTTTCAGGCAGAATTTGCTTTCCACAGTCTTGGCTTCTCTGAAGATGTTTTCTTTGAGAAATTTGCATTCTCTTCGTTGAAGCACTGTTGCTACTGACTTTTTAAACTTCTTATCTTAAGCAAAGTGGAAAACTCTCTCTGTGAGGTTACTTGTTCAGATGTCCTTAAACCCTGAGATATACGTTAGGGAATAGTGATGAATACAGACTGGCTTTCCTTTAAGATACAAAGTAAGTTATATTATGAGGCTTTATTATTTCTAAAGTTAGCTCTGTGGAAAAGTTGCTTTAATTTGGGAAGTTTTTTCAAAGTAGGATCATATCAACATGCTACCTGGCATCAACTTATCCAGACCCTCTGGTGTCCTGATGGGTAGCCTCAATAAAGCTCCTAGAAGATGCTGACTTTGAGAAAAGTGTTTCTCTTTCGGTCTAACAGGTTTATGCCACAGCTGGTTATTTTTAAAGGCAGACTGATGTGCTTGTCCAGAAAATTTTTTTTTACTGCAATTTTTACTTTGTCTAGCCTGGTACAGTGCTTGAAGATTACCACTGTTGCAGTCTGTCTTGATAAAAGGTACCACTACAGTTTCCAGATTTGGAATAAGGGGAGACTCACAGATGTAGAGGAACAAGTCATCCTTGCTGATTTGCCTTTCCCTGTCACCACTCTGATCTGTATGCTACTGTGTCATTTAAGGGGAAAAGGTACAGGAAAAATAAAATAATCCTACTGAAGTATGTGACTTTGCTTCAGTATCAGGTTGGGAAATTCCAAAACAGCCTTGATTTATGCAGTAACCTTCAAATCTTACTCACAATATAGGAAAACTTGGTTTTAACTGGGGCAATA